CCTCCTTGCCCAGGTGAGCATCTCCAGGAAGTCTTTGTGTGAAATGAGGTGGGAGGGGCCAGGAGGACTTGGTGGGGTGCTGGGCATCTGTTATTTTGTTGAAGACTCCAGGTGATGCAGCCAGTGCAGGTTTTACCAGTCCGGCGGTGCCTTCGAGGAAACGAGGCTTGGCGAGATGACTGCAGGTGTGCAGGGTCGCGGTCTGGCAGGTTCCTGGTTCAAGCCTGAGCTTGCTGATCTCGAACAAACCTGGTCTCTGTTGTTGCTGCGACATTACAGGGAGGATTTCTGGTGGGGTGCCCCCCTCGCCCCAGGGGAGGGTCTTTTCAGCCCAGTGCCTCTCGGGTACTGTACTAAAGGCATTTAAGCATTCCTGCAGTCTGTCTGTCTGTTGTCATCCATGTGTCCTTTACTGAACACTTGGCTAGATGCAGGTCCGACGCTGGAGCGCCACACTCCTGGAGCCCTCGGGTCACAGGGAGGGAGGACTTGGGGTGCATGGTGCCCAGGCTGGGCCACTCTGAGCAGCTGGCATCTGGGCTGAGGTCTCTGGGAGGCTCTGGAAAGGACTGGCATCTCTAAAGACCTGAAGGACGAGTCAGAGTTTCCCTGAGAAAGGTTTAGGGAGCAGAGAGGTTCTGGTTGAGAAAACTACCTGGGGTGAAAGCCCACCGCTGGAGGGAGCGTGGCTGGGTCATGGTGAGGGCTTCTGGAGAGAGGAGGCTGGGGAGCGGGTAGGGGTGTTAGAGGTAGGGGTGTTACAGATGGAGCTGAGAGACCAGGTGGCAGCTGGAGGAGCAATGGTGACCTCAAGAGATTTGGGAGGTCGGAATGACAGGCATGGGTGATGGGTGGGATGAAGATGGTTCCATCCAGGCTGTGGAGCCACACCCTCTGGCCTCTGGGCCTCAGTCTCAACGCCCCCTGCTCCAGGGCAGGGTATTGCTGTATCACAGAGGCTGGACCCTGCTGCTGGGCTGTCCACTGTGGGCCAAGGGGCACAGTCCCCAGGGTCAGGCTGTGGCCTATTCAGGGCACCCAGCCCTCAGGCTGGCCCGCCTCCTGCTCTTCCTGTACTTTAGGACCCAGCCTAGGGATGCCAGTCCCTTCTTCTTGCCACTTTCTGTGATTAGCAGTGAACGCTGGAGCAAGTCTGCCCGAGTTCAAATTCTGCTCCAAACTACTGCTGAGACTTTGAGCTACCTCCGTCTCTCCACTGTCAAGTGACTAAAGTCTTGTGGCGCTGTTGGGTAAGCTAACCTCAAAGCCAGGAGTTCAAAGCTACCAGCTACTCCGAGGGAGAGAGATGAGACTGCTCCCATAA